ATCTTGCAGATGAATTCTCTACATCAGATAAGACTGGGCCAGCCGTTGATTCTAAATTAGCCACCATGGTGGAGGAACTGGTTAAAGAAAAGCTACCCAAGTCAAAACTCGACGATTTGATGTCAAAATATCTTCGGCCAGAAAATTGCAAATTGCTGGTCTCACCCAAAGTCAATAGAGCTGTATGGAATCAGTTAAGCCAGAATACCAAAGCCACAGATAGGGCTTTTCAAAAGTCTCAACAGTATTTTATTACTGCCATGTATGCCATGATGTCTGCCTGCGAGAAGGCAACAGGAGAGATGGAGTCTGTTCTTGCACACTCTTTAGTCCTTGCCTCGGCAGGTAATCGAGAACTGAACCTTCGCCGGCGGGAGTCCTTAAGGCCTGAATTGAATTCGCAGTTTGCTTCGCTTTGTAACCCTACTACGCCGATTACAGATCAGCTGTTTGGGGATGATATTGGAAAAGAAATTGGCGAGGTAAATAAGGCAAACAAGCTTTCAAAGAAAATGTCATCCAAGAGAGGCAGTCGTAAAGGTTATCACCCCTACAACAGCCAAAGCCGGCAAAGATCCTCTTCATCTTCAAGAGATGGCAGAGCTTATGGCTCAAGGTCTTTTTTAGGAGAGAGAGGCTCCTACCGCAGGAGGGGAGGAGCCAGACAACGCACTCAGACCGACAAAGAGTCTCGTCAATAATTTCCAGAGCTCAGGTTAGTTACATGACTCAAATTCATGCTATTATTGGGTCAGAGACACCATTTAGAGCTGGCCAATTACAACACTGTTTAGAGGAATGGAAAACAATTACCTTGGACCCCTTTGTCTTACAATGTGTGTCTAATTGTGAACTTGAGTTTTATTGCATTCCTATGCCATCAAATGGCTCTTCAAGTTCCTTACACGCAGAATTCAAATTCACATTGACAGAGCAACAAGCTGTTGATAGAGAGATTGACACCTTTTTGGAAAAGCAAATTATTGAACGATGTCAGTCAGAACGTGGGGAGATTATTTCACTTATATTTCTAATACCTAAGAAGGAACCTGGGGTCTACAGAATGATTTTCAATTTAAAGTCCCTTAACCAATCAGTGACTTACCATAAGTTTAAAATGGACACGCTTGAGTCTGCAATCAAATTAATGAAGCCTGGGTGTTCAAGTTTTATGTCTTCAATCGACCTGCGAGATGCTTATTACTCCATACCAATATCTCCTGCCTATAGAATGTTTCTCAAGTTTGCATGGAGGGGATACCTGTTTCAATTTCGGGCCCTACCAATGGGGTTGACAAGTAGTCCACGTATTTTTACGAAGGTCCTCAAACCTGTTTTTTCCACCTTACGAACTCAATATGGACATAATTGCCTGGGATATCTTGATGACTCTTTCTTCACGGACGATACTGAAGATGCCTGTCGTGAGGCTACCATACATGCAGCTCAGCTGTTTACTCGTCTAGGTTTTGTCATTCACCCAACCAAGTCTATATTCAATCCTACACAGTCATTAGAGTTTTTGGGTTTCGTGTTAAATTCTGACACCATGACAGTTTGTTTGACCCCAAGGAAGATTGAGAAAATTGTCCTTACGTGTCAGAAGTATTTATGTGGACAGGCATATACCATTCGGGAAGTTGCATCATTGATAGGAACTTTGGTATCAACATTTTCTGGGGTGGAGTTTGGCCCGCTGTATTATAGAAATTTAGAATGGGACAAAGATGTGTCCCTAAAAGCTACCCAAGGGGATTTTGATGAGAAAATGTCCCTTTCCAGGGAAAGTCTCCAAGAATTAGAATGGTGGGTCAGTTCCCTTCCTGCTGCAAGGAGAAACATTGTGCATGGTATCCCAACCATGATTCTTACGTCTGACGCATCTTCTGTGGGTTGGGGTGCTTGGACTTCCCAAAGTCAAACCCAAGGTCTATGGTCCCAAGTGGAGAGGAACTATCATATCAATGTCCTGGAGATGCTCGCAGTTAAACTGGGGCTCATGTCCCTTTTTGAATCAGTATCCAACCAACACATTAGGATCTTATCTGACAATACTACCACAGTGTCCTATATTAATGCTATGGGAGGTTGTAAGAGTAAGGAATGCACTCAGATTGCTAAGGACATTTGGTTATGGGCCATCAGTCGGCACCTCTGGCTCTCAGCGGCTCATCAGCGGCTCAGAGTTTCTGCACAGTTTACACATCAAAGAGCTATCCTATTCCACAATTAATACAGCACGTTCGGCTTTGTCGAACTATTTAATGGAATTTGAATTTCCTGGTACTCACTACACAATTACTGATCACCCCTTTGTTGTACGCTATTTGAAGGGAGTGTTTAATTTTGTCAAACCTACTCCTCGTTATCAGGAGACTTGGGATGTCAACCCAGTACTGAAATACATAGAGCTATTGTCGCCGTTGGAGAAACTTTCATTAAAGGAACTAACATTCAAATTAGTTATTTTGCTAGCACTCACATCTGGACAAAGATGTCAGACATTATCATTTCTCGATATTGATGATATGAAAGAGAATGCAGATTATTATTTGTTCTACA